GGAAACGAGAGTACCTTGACAAAACCTACTTTCACTGGTCAGGCGCCGAAGTATCGTCCATATGACATCTTGTCCCTATCTTAAACATCTGTTCATGGTCAATACGCCACTTATGTAACTAACAATTTTCTGGTAATGTTAAGTAGCTAACGTTAGATTTAGTCAGTTTAGAATGGAATCTGAACCGAACAGTCTGGAACAAGATCTCAGCTTATTTAGTTCTGGAATACAATCTAAAAGACAGAGATACAGTTTGGAACTTAGGATCACCGAGTTAGTGCTAATTCTTCAGTAAAGATAACTGCCATTTAGGACCGATTAAATATACATTTTAATTGTGTCTGTCGTAAATAAAGATTGTTTATTGTGATTGTACGTCTGTGTCCAGTCTTTCTTTATTTATCTTTATTTAGTAGTCAGAGAGCATAGAATTATTCCACAGTAAATATGTTGTCGAATCTCCAGTTATTAAGCGGACCCGTCTTGTCTCTCTGAGTGGAATCAGGCTTACTTGAAAGTACCACATATAGGGTGTCCGAGAATCTCCAGTTATTAAGCGGACCCGTCTTGTCTCTCTGAGTGGAATCAGGCTTACTTGAAAGTACCACATATAGGGTGTCCGAAAAGTCTGGAACCTTGGGTGGTTTGCACCTTTTCTTAATTTTAGATACGTGACTGATTATAGTGCTGTCAAAGCAAAAAAAAGGTCGAGTTAATCCAAACTTGTTTCGGATTAGAAGAACGGCATATAGAAAATCTGTAAAATTCGTTGAAGTGCCTATGGTTCCACACGTTTCGTACACACTTTATATAACGTTTTCGAAGTTACAGTCATTTTACAACTTTGTGAAATTGTAATATTTTGTGAATATTTAATGTGAGGAAAAGTAGATAAGCATTCTTCTGATCTGAATTCCACGTCGTGATAACTCCGTTCTCCTATTACGTATCTCTTTGGATTTTCAACTTTGTAGATTTTTTTCCACCATAATGAATTCCATAGTGTAAAACTGTAATATAAAATCTTAATTTTCTTTAAAAGAGAAAAGATCAGGCGTATGAAAGCGTATATAATTTGAAAGTGCATAATCTTAAGAGCAAAGAAATATTAATTTAATTCGAAATTGTTTTTCCCCCACAAGACTTTTCATGTTTTTTTTCTCCCTCCGATTGCATCATTCATGCGGTATTATAAAACCAAGCCCTTTCTTCTGTATTACTAACCTCATGAATGTTCTCTGAACTTCTATTGCATCATTCATGCGGTATTATAAAAACAAGACCTTTCTTCTGTATTACTAACCTCCTGAATGTTCTCTGAACTTTGATTGCATCATTCATACGGTATTATATAACCAACCCCTTTCTTCTGTGTCACTAACCTCCTAAATCTTCTCTGAACTTCGATTGCATCATTCATACGGTATTATAT